TAGGTCTCCCTCACTTATCCCCCCCCCCCTCCATAAACCCGACCCTCCCGCCACTCTCTCTCTCTCTCTCTCTCTCTCCCCCCCCCCTCTCTCTCTCTCACACACACACACACACACACACACACACACACACACACACACACACACACACACACACACACACACACACACACACACACACACCCTTCTTCTGTCTCCTCCTTTTGCCTCCAACTGGGATGCCTCTATACATTTCCTCTTTCATCACACGTTCACACAATTAACTTCCTGTCAGCCTCTCGTAGAGATACAATTGATATCCTTGATGACTAGCATCAATTTCTTTACAATTAGCCCCTTGGCCTTTCACCCACTTAGTCACTTCCGTCTAGCCTGTAACCACACGTAACCCTAAGACTCCCTTTGTTAGGCCCATTTCACTGCTAATATACAGCGCTCGTTTAGTTTTTTTCTCAGTTGCTCCTGAGGAAGCCCACAGGGCGAAACGTTGAGCTATTAAACAAATTTAAACATTTTATATTGTTTTTTTATTTTTGTCTAAAATTAAAACAAGACTCTCCCTCCTACCCTGCTTACCAAAAAATGATGATGATGATGATGATGATGATGATGATGATGATGATGATGATGATGATGATGATGATGATGATTTGCTTTGATTACTTATTGATATGATCATTATATTATAATCAGCATCATTTTCATATTGTCATATTGTATATTAGCATAATTGTTTTTTTTCTTTTTTAAAAATATATTGGACAGAGATGGTAAATTAGTGTTTTGTTTAACTGAGGTTTCAGTACATTTGCAACCTAGATTAGACAAGAATGGTTTAATATGCTAGCTATCTTATGACCATTAGGTCTACCAAAGAAGTATGAATCATCAGATTACATAATAAGTAAGTACATGTATATAACCTTTACAATTACAAACTGGTTTATCTGTACTGGGTTTTATTATTCGCTTGTTTGGCTTTATTTACTTTAAAAACAATTTTTGCCTTCATCCCTTCCTGGCTATCTCTGCTTCCCCCCCCCCTTTCCCCCCTTTCTCCTCCCTTCTCTCGTGTCTACCCCTCTTGTTTCTTTCTTCTCTGGCCAGTGGCCACACCCTCATTATGTTCGTTTCGTTTAAAAATAAAACAACAGAATGGAAAAAAAGTTATGCTTTTGTAAATATCCTTCAAAAGAATGGTTCACTAAAAACTTATTTGGGAACTTTCCCGGAAAAGGTGAAAAGGAAGTGAAGTTAGGATAGATTGTAAACATTTTTAACAATAGCAGCAGCCTCTGCCTTATAACGTTTGCCTGTGACGTGTGTTTCAAACAAAATGACAGATCGACATCGCCAGTCGGGGAATTTGATTGAAGGCATTGGAAATGACGTTCTTTTGGGAGTTGGTGCTTTGTTTGGTGCACTAATCCCAATGTTTATCTTTGTTACCAGAAGGTGAAAGTGAAAAAAACTGTCTGTAGACTGTCACTGTGTAGGAGTGTAGGGTGATCTTGTAGTTACCGCTCGTTAAAGTCCACGATCCATTTGTTTACATCCAGAGAAGAAATCCAGAAGTCTTGATGACCAAATACTATTTGAAATACGCTACACACAAAGAGCAGGGATGCTACCTAACTGCAAAACATCAAATTAGGATAACATTCAGGGAGGCATGCCCGCCTGAACTGAACCCCCCACATCCATATTTTTATTAGGTCAGGGGGGCGCCCCCTTGAAACCCCCCTACTTGACTTTAACGAACGAAACTATAAAATCGCCTAAAGTAGGAGTAGGCCTAGAGATCTAGATTCTAGATCTAGATTCTAGTCTAGGACTAGATCTAGATCTAGAATGTAGATACAACAAGCGGATAGCTAGAGAACGACAACTAATCTAGATCTAGATCTAGATCTAAATGCCATTGATTGGCCGATATTTATAATAACTGCCATCTTGTTTGACCTAAGATTCTCCACTACCAAGAAGTTTCAATTGCCCTATCCGCCCGAGACTTGGACGCTACCTTGAGCTAGTGCGTGTTGGCCCGTGGTATGAGTGTAAACAAACGTTCCAGCGCTCTTGATTGAAAGCGTGCAATTCAGAAATTCTGCCTGCGGGCAGTGAGAGAGGGAGGGGGGGGGGGGGGGTGGAGG